CACCTACCATCGGCGACCGTGTATACTTTGAACTCCAAGCCAAGATCCGCCAGCATGGCAACAGCCGTATCCGGACAACGGAAATGATGGAAGGAAAGGAGAGAGAGGCGCTCCACGAGGCCATATGGGCCAATGGGAAGATATCAGATCATCTTCTGGAAGTTGACCTGGCTCCAGGGGATGCTTTGTTTATTCCAAAGGGCTGGTGGCATTCAGTCAAGAGCAAGAATTCGATGGGCCACCTGAATGGATCTGTGAATTGGTGGTTTCGGTGATTTTTGCTTTCAGCGAGCGAGCGTCTGCCACACTGTTCTGGCCCTGACCGTGTATTCTATTGTACATCAACGGGGATCTTCAACCCGGGATAAACATATAAGAATCATGATACCTCCACCACCTCCACCGGGGGAAATATTGAAATATCACTCAATCGCAAATCTGCGCTTCTCCCCGATTGGTCTGCACACGACCCAGCTGATGTAACCAACCGGCCATGCATGAAGTTCCCGCCCACTCTTGATCTCCCACGCGCTGGTGTTCGCACCGCAACTGCGGAGCAAGGCTTCGACTTCTTCAGGCTCGCGAGTTCGCAGTGAGGAGATGTACCCATCATAAACGAGAACGAATGGGATGATGGGGATGATCCAAGTGAAGAAGAAGGCAGTTGGGGATCTCGTCTTGAGAGAGTGCACTGGGGCCCAGCCCAAAGACACGAACAACAAAAGTGTGACTGCAACAAAGCTAGCGAAGCTTCGATCCTGCAGCTCGAAAATGGCGAATCCGTGGCTGGTTTTGACAGTGTCTCTCAAGATATCCTTGGCCAGCTTGTCGTCGAAGTGGTGGAAAGCGAGATTGAACAGTCGCATGAGCTTCTTGCCGTCACCTCGCTGCACGAGCTGTGGAGGAGCCCTGGCGGCATCCACCGACGTAGGCTCATACTTGACTTGGGGGTTGAGCCGCGAGATCCTCTCCCAGGACTCCAGGTTGGGGTGGATGTCGGAGAGCACGAAGGTGGCGGGCTCCTCGTTTTTGCTGGCGAGATATGTATTGACCTCCCGAGCAACGTATGGCGTAGGGCCACCGGCCCCGGCACAAAAGTCGACGAACGTATACTGAGATAGAGATGAACCGAGCTCACGGATGAGAATTTGGCCAGCAAATTGGGCTGGAGGAACTGGTTGGATAATGGGCGTTTTTAGCCTCCATGCATGCGTGAGTGCTGCTTGCACAGCGCGGCGAAGGATGGGAGGGAACCTGGATGCTGATGTCAATCTGTGTTGCCATCTCAAGGTGAAAAATTATTATCCTACCATGGCTGGTCATCTATCTCGAAGAGATGCATTCTTGGGAGAAGACGTTTCATAATGGCGGTCGAGATTGAAGCTGTGGTGAGTCGTACGTCATGGATTTGTCTTGTGAAGCAATAACAGAAAATTGTGGTGGTTAGATATGACTGCCGTGTTTTGAATGATGAGAAAAAGGCTACTCGGTGTAGCTTTTAGTTTCTTGAAAGAATGGGAGACTATTTGGGCAAGAACTTATAGGCAAGAGGTTATTTCATAGCTAATTTTGTACTACCTCCGGCACTTAGACAAGCTGCTGGACAGATGCGTGGCGTCGCGGACGTCATCTCAACAAGTATAATTGCGGGGTTGGCAGAATTGTTGGGAGGATTCACAGCTGAACATCCCTCGGTAAAGATATATGAAACATCTCATTTCTCACAAGAAAATCCATAAGACCTGCATCTGTTCACGGCAGGCAGCCTTATCATGACAGGTTACCGTACTTTTGTATTCCCCCAAAGACTAGCGCTAGTATGAGTTAAAGCACCACTAGATTCTCGTTGAACACTATTAAGCATACGACCAACTATATAAGCTTCTCTTCTTTCTTCCAGATATTAAGTAGAAGAATGTCCAATTTTGGCGACGGGTTAGAAATTGAATCAGAATAATAAAATGATGATTCTCGGGCAAATGGACATGCACCTGGATGTCAGGCATCGCTGACCAGCAAGCTCCTATTTGTCTATGGAAACTAGGTACCGCTGAATCCGCTGACGCCTTGAAGAGAGAATAACCCAAGAGTCGACCTTTTGTTGGGCAAGCCCGGGAAACACGGCATACTTCTACTCGTCGCTGGGGTTATCTGAATAAGGGTCAAATCCTACACGTTCTCTCGCTTCCTTTCTCATTTTCCAACCCGCCTCCCCCGACAAACCTGTAGACGAAGTCTCTTCCAGAAAGAAGGACATAACATGATCGGGGATTGATAGGTGAGATGCTTGTTGAAACTCCTGAAGGCTCGCTAAGCGGATGAGCATCTCGATTAAAGAGAGGGAGGTAATAATGGCACCGAATGGTGACCGAGACATAAAGTTTCCAGAACTCCCCGTGGCAGCAGGTAAAATCTGACCCATGCTAGTCTGCTTTTCCCCAATATGTTGGGCGAATGGTAAGGGTGAGCGGAGTGATAGGTTATGGATCTGAGTCTCCAGCTCGGAATTTGCTGAGACAACTGAGCCGTCGGAACCACCCCGCATATGATGCTTCTGATTGCAAGGTTGGCTTAGCAACGTGTTGCTTGGAAGCTGCTTTACTTCCTCGATATCCTCCTCGTCTTCGGGTTCATCATCGTCATCGCTCTCACATGGCTCTTCAAACATCTCCATTGCTATCCATGCTGGGTCGAGGTAATCTGGAAATCCCCATCGTCGGTGTTGGAAGGAATATCTTTCGGTAACGGGCTGGAAGCCCTGCCCCAGAGCTTCTTCTGACAACAGCTGTTGATCAAGCGCAGCTTGTTCATCGGCTGAATCCATCTCGCTTGTCTCTATAGGACCATGACCTGCACCCGTCGGCAGGTGTGATCTCACCATTTCCTCTTTCGAACGAGGATGGTTTGCACTCACATCACGCTTAAGCAGAAGTATTGGTTTTCTTCCGGACTCCGAATTTGATCCTATATTGAGTATCTTCCCACTGTCGGTGTAAAAGATCTTAGACAACTGGTAAAGAGGAATTCGCTCCTGTAGATGAGATCCTTGGAGCTCACCAAGCTCCTGGTCGGCATCGGCATGTACTCGCCCGTCATCAAGATCCTCAATGATCTCCAGGTAATATTCATACTCTATCTGAGCACCTGGCCTGACGGCCAACTCCTCTATCGAAGGAACATTTTGGGGAGCCCGACAGAGACGCACATTTGCTTTATGAATGACTTCTTGCCAAATTGGTTTCTTCCCCTGTGATTGCCAAGAATCTGTTGGCCTCGCCTGTGGGGTCGAGGGTTCTCTTGGGGATCCGTTATGTAGGGACAAGTCTGTGGGCTGTGCATTCTGGGCCACGGTAGAGCTGTGGCCGAGAAATAGCAAATACAACGACAACTTGAACATGGGGCCAATCTGAACAGGATAAGCTGGGTCCCGCGCAAACTGTGTGTCTCCAACAGTCAACAAGGTACTTGCCTGCAGGAGTCTCGAAGGTGAAACGCTGGCAGGTAAAGAAGAAGACAGGCTTTCTCCCGAAGCTGAGATGGCCAACTGTAGCAGCGGAATCTCTCGATCGATTCGGTCTAGCAATTCCTTGATATCGGCAACGACCTTGACGATGTCCTCTCTACCTTTCTGAGCACTCCGTGGAGTGATGTTCTCAGTACCCTCGACCTCCCATTCAGCAGCAATAGCCTCGATTCGCTGACCCAAGGATGTGATTTCTCGGTGAAGCGAGCTTGCAAGAGGGAGGGCTGAATCCAGAAAAACATTGCCACGACCAGCTCTATATCATGGTTAGTTTTATAGTCTATGCTGGTGAGAATTGAGAAACATTCGATGACTGCCCAAGAAACTCGCACTCACTTGAATTCTACGAGGTCGATTGCCGGGGACACTACCTTGATTTTGCTGTCTAGCAATTTTTCCAAAGTGCGGAGTTGTGCAGTTACATCGTGATCCTGCACTGGTGCTGTTCTCAATAGCCGTGAACACTGGCTGAGAGCATAGGACGATGTCAAGCCAATTCCGGATCTGATGGCGTATCTCATGGCTTGGGCGCCAAGGGTAGCCAGAAACTCGTCCATCTTGGCTGGGCGTGCTGAGATGGCAATTTCATGACTGAAGATAAAGGCGGGATCAACAAACGCAGCGGAAAAAGAAAAGAAGTAGACATGCGCACGCTCAGATCACGGGTGAATACACAGCATGGTGAATGTGAATTTTATTCACCTTTATTTGTGCATCTGTTGTGCTGGGTTTCACAGGGCGAAATTATGTAGCTGCCATGTACCTGTGCCAATAAGGTAGTTAGTACCTGATGTGGCTTCACTTCAGGCTGCGATGGACCCACATTTGCCATCAAGAGCTGTCATCCGCTTGGCCACAGTGCGCACTACCACAATGCACGTTAATTAATACTGACCCTGTCGCCATTGAGTTGCGCTGCCTTGAGCTACCATGGGTGACTCACGGGAAGTCGCGTCATAAGGCTTCATTTCAGAAGGCTTTGGATACGGAATGATGTGCACCTGGGCAGGATGAGGCGCCTGGTTGAGTCACTAATTGCCTCGTAGTTGGGCTTTCGTAGTGGATGCCTGGCCTCAATGAGCGCTCTTATGCGCTTATCGTACAGTGCTTGGTAACCCCTCCAAAGGACAAAGTGGGCGGCCAAAAGACCACTCTCCTCCCCCAGCGTCATGGTGGTGGGGCTTGAATTTTCACAATCACCTTAAATTCAAAGACTCCAGGCAGAGCGACCATTCTCGCGACCGACCCTGTCTAAACCGGTCCTGCCTTAGAGATAGTCGGATATTTTCGCCGTCTAAAATCTCCTGTTTCTTTTCGAGCCGTTTCGCCGAGTGCCGCGTTTCCGACCCCGCGTAACAAAGCGCAACTTCCCCTCCATCCTCATCTTCGAGAAAACACTCGTCGCAACCAACTACCCTGTGCGGCGCCGCTACCGAATCTACACTTTATACCATTCCCTCGCGAAACCTAGATCACCATGTCTCACCTCAACTCTTGGGAAGACGACCCGGCCGCTCAGGATGAGAACCTGTCGCGGCAGACTCAGCAACAGTTAAACTTGAACCCCGCCCAGGGCAGTTTCCGCCCAGGTGTCGCATCGTTCCAACCTGGTGCTCAGACCTTCCAACCTGGACAGCCTTACGTCGTGCCCCAGTACCAACAGCAGCAGCAGTATTATCAGCAGCAGGGCTACTACCCCCAGTATGGTGGCCAGCAGCAGCAGCAACAGCAGCAGCAATTCAACCAATTCCAGCAATACGGTGGTGGCTTTAGCCAAGGATACAACAACCAGGGCTACAGTATGCCTATCTGTCCTCTTGTGGTAGTTCTGCAAGAAAATTCGAGCTAATAATCCTCATAGGTGGCGGATACCCCCAGTACGGCCAACAGCAGACTCAACAGCCACAGCAACCACAACAGCCAGCTGCCCCAGCCGCCTCTACCCCAGCCGCTCCCCAACCCCAAGTATCTCAGGAGGGAGGTGCCAAGGTGCTGAGCATTGGAGGAGATGCGCCCAAGCCCAAGGCCAAGGTTCTTTCCATAGGTGGAGCTGCCCCGGCCAAGCCCAAGGAAGCATCCAAGCCCAAGGAGGACGCCAAGCCAGAGCCTTCAAACGCCCCGGAGGCTGGCCAAAAAGCCGCTGCCGTGAAGGCTATCGAGAAGACCGGGGAGAAGGCTGGTAAGGCCGCCGCTTCCGGTGATAAGACCTCCGGAAAGACCTCCCCCAACTCTTCGGGCCGCTCAAGCCCCGTCGGCCCCGGAGACAAGAAGCCCCAGCGGGAAGTCGATGCCGTTCAGAAGGAACAGGCTGCAGACGTCGACCAGGAGACCCTCAAGGAAATCTACGGCAAGGAGCACGTCAACATCATCTTCATCGGGCATGTCGACGCTGGCAAGTCCACTCTGGGTGGTTCCATTCTCTGGTCAACTGGTATGGTCGATGAGCGAACCATGGACAAGTACAAGAAGGAAGCCAAGGATATGGGCCGTGAATCATGGTACCTCTCATGGGTCATGGATATCAACAAGGAGGAGCGTTCAGTGGGCAAGACTATCGAAGTTGGCCGAGGATTCTTTGAGACCGAGAAGCGCCGCTACAGTATCCTGGACGCCCCAGGCCACAAAACTTACGTACCAAACATGATTGGAGGTGCATCACAAGCTGATGTCGGTATTCTGGTCATTTCTGCCCGTAAGGGTGAATACGAGACCGGATTTGAACGTGGAGGTCAAACCCGTGAACATGCTATGCTTGCCAAGACCCAGGGTGTGAACAAGCTTATTGTTGCCATCAACAAGATGGACGACCCTACTGTGGAGTGGTCCCATGACCGATACCTGGAATGCACAACCAAGCTGGGCCAGTTCTTGAAGGGAACTGGCTACAACCTCAAGAATGACGTCTTCTTCATCCCCGTGGCCGCCCAAGTTTCCATGAATATCAAGAACCGAATCCCCAAGGATGTTGCGCCTTGGTGGGAGGGACCTTCCCTGCTTGAGTATCTTGATAACATGCAAGCCCTCGAGCGAAAGGTGAATGCACCCTTCATGATGCCTGTCAATGCCAAGTACCGAGACCTGGGCACCATGATTGATGGAAAGATCGAGGCTGGTGTTCTCAAGAAGGGCATGTCGCTCATCATGATGCCCCGAAAGGACAAGGTGGAGGTTTCTGCTGTGTACGGAGAGCAAGAAGACGAAATCCCCATTGCCCAGTGCGGTGACCAGGTTCGCATCAGGCTCAAGGGTATTGAGGAAGAAGACATCCTGCCTGGTTTCGTCATCTGCTCCCCCAAGCGACTGGTCCACAACGTTGCCGAATTCGAGGCTCAGATTCGAATCCTCGACTTGAAGAGCATTCTGACCTCGGGTTTCAACTGCGTGCTTCATGTCCACTCAGCTATCGAAGAAGTTACCTTTGCCTCTCTCATGCACAAGCTACAGAAGGGAACCAACCGCAAGAGTAAGAACCCCCCAACCCACGCCAAGAAGGGCGACAGTATCATCGCCCGGCTGCAGATCATTGGCGGGGCTGGTTCCGTCTGTGTCGAACGATTTGAGGATTACCCCCAGATGGGTCGCTTCACTCTCCGTGATCAGGTTAGTACTATCTTACTTCTCTTCTTGTTTTTTTTTACTCCGCCTCTCTAGCTTCCCTATTCCCCGTCGTGTTTTCATCACTAACTTTTGCGTCTCTGCAGGGACAAACTATTGCTATTGGTAAGATCACCAAGCTCATCACGGATTCTTCTTAAATGAGCCGATGGGAATAAATATACAAGGGTCCCCAAGCCACAATACAAAGTAAAAGAAAAGGATAGAATGTAAGAGAAGGACGGATAGCCTCGGGTCTTTTTTCCTTCGAGGCAGGACGTTTTCGGGTCCAGGCGAGACACGCCTGGCCGACAAACTCAAGAAAAGGGCACCGCAACCCAACCGTCATGAGCCGACCAATGTCGCTTGTATGAAACGCTCACGATGCATGGATGGGCGACGTGAAGGGCACTTGGTGTGCGTGTAGGGAGGATATGTATCACACCGCTCCAACGGCAGGGTAACCCCTACATTGCGGGCGGGAAATCCAGGCTCATGCCGAAATCTTGGGGGTGGCCCATGATTTGCATCCATAGGTTCCATAGCGAAGCACCAAAAAACGGGTTATTTTTGTCTTCTTCCTCCAGATTAAATGGCCAAGGCCGCGAGTGGGTGATGTCGAAGCCAAGGCACTTGAATCATTAAGCTGCCATTTTCGAGTCTACGCCCGGTATTATCAGATTATTAGGTGCTAATAATGCATGCCTAAAAGATAATCCGGCATATTATAGCACGTTGTTTCGTTTTATACGACGGTATTTCTGTATTCATTGTTGAAAGTGATCTATCTGTTTATAACCACACTTCCATTGAGTGTCTCATGATTATCTCCTGTCACCGACTTGGGCCGGTCGTCGCATCATGCACAACACATCACAGCAGGCGTACGTAAACGGCAAGTGTATGTGGGGGAGCATGGAGGTCGTAAGGATCATCATACATATAATGCATGGGCTATGCCAATATGTCACCCACGGCTATTACCGCGTATCTTGGGGAATGGCCAAGACGAGATGGGAGGTTGCTCCAGATACGGCAACCTGCTTCTGCGGGAGGATGCGGACGGGCGGTACGGCTGCCCAACCTGAGGCTGTCGTGCTTACTGTCTGTTACCTACCTACCTAGGTACATCACAGTAGCGGTTTCTGCTGCTGCTTAGATTCAGAACAGCGGCCACTGGCCGACAGCTGTGATCCCTGAGGCTCAAGACGAAACCAATGGTCCACTTTGGGGCTTCCCATGCAGGCTCTTACATGCAGAAGGGGTGTGCAAAAGTGAAGGGAGCTAGGTGCCTAGTTGCAAGGAGGACGAAAATGAGCCGGAACTGGGTGATTGTCGCGGGGTTGGGCTGGATGCATAGATAGCACGGAACGGCGATTGAATGGTGGAGGGAGAACGGGTCGGGGCCGTGCGGAGTCGAAATCTGCGGGTCCTGGAGGTCCTCCGAAGCGGCGTCCAGCAAGGGGAACGGCACCGCGACTGGCATAACGGAAGCTGGCCCGACGAAGATGAAAGACAGTGCATGGGGTGTTTTGGTCTTGACATCGATGATGCTATATTGACCAGCGATGTCTTCATATCCTGCCCGTTCTCCCCCTTTACCGAGGCCTTGCTGCCCGATGGACTTACTAGTGCATCGTCTTCCGTCCAGCCTGGGTATTACTCACATTTCATATGTACGGTTGGCGAGAAGACAGGGGATAGCATACCTTGCCTTATTAACGTACATGTCGTGTGAGGGAGTCACCTGCAACTTTCTTACCGGTACTGTGCTCCCACCGGGTGCAGCGTAAGACCTGCCTGCCTGCAGCCACATTCGCCATCGTGAGATGACATGGTCAGCTTCCGGACAAACGAGATGAAAGTTGCGAAGGAGCAGCGGTGAAGATTTTTTCCTGTCCATTCCCGCGGTTTGGCGCGTCAATGCGTGCCGGGCTGGGACGCTTACAGGAGGATAACGAGTTCAGGCACACGTTGATGCGCAAGCAGGCAGGATCAGCCCAGGGTGGGGCTCCCCGGCCTACTTCCGTTGCCTAGGGGCATGTTAGGTTTTTCTCTGGTCAATGGTATTTTGTTGGCACGAATGCCATGTGCCAGGGGGTGTGGCGACCGGAGCGGATAGGAGGATGCGTATTGGCCCTGCTTGCATCGAGATGCATGTAGGGGAAAAATTTAATCAATCAATCAATCCAAATAGAGACGGTGCGGAGATGCGGAAGCAACGACTGGAGTTGGTTGCTCCCAAAGTTGTCGGAACTGCGATTCCTCCCTTAGGGGCAGTTCATACCGACGTCAACGGAAAGCGTCCGATGTAAGCAGGGGTGCAGATAACGCGTCGATGAAACCGGAACTGGAACGGCCAGAATCCAGGGGAGATCCGACAATAAGCTGAATCTCACCGTTAGTCGTCTTTCTGCTTGCATTGTTCTGGGCGTTGGAGAGCCTGTGTGATAAAGGCCGGAAGAAGTCGGAACGGGCACGGCTGCAGTCTGGACTCAGGAGTTTGAGCCCTGCTGGGGGGAACCTATCAGTTGGTGGGGTGGCTATTTCTTTTCGCGGGGGACAGACGCTGGAGAGGTCGAGAGAGGGTCAAGGGGAGGGGCTCTGATTCATCGGTACGGGGCTATTATTGGGCCAGGCTGGAGTCGGGGAGGGATGGCGAGCGGTGCATTGGCAAGATTGGGTAGGGGAAGGACTGGACATCCGTTATGACCAGCATGGGGGGTGTGGCGTACATATCAAGAGTACGTACCGTCAATACCTGGTCTCGGGAAGCGAATTCCATAGGCTGACATACCGTAGCGCATTGCCGTAACTGATCCGGCGATTGCCTCGGGTAGATTACGTACCAGGTAGGCTCGTGTTCGTGGCGATGGTTGTGATGAAGTTCAGCCGGAGGCGAGAAGGGAGGGAGAGGGAGGGCGGACGAGACCGTTGCATGCCAAATCCAGCCTTCTCCAAGCCTACAGAGGCCTCGGAAGCAGCAGCAGACGGTGTGAGCTGGCTCGTGAACAACGGAGGAGGAGCGGTGCTGCTGGTAATTGGTGGGTGGGAGCGACCAGGGCAGAGAAAATCGCGGGGTAAGCCAAGATTTGCTGGAGCCAAATCTACGTAATACAATACGGTCTGGTAATAGCAAAACCGTGGCCGACAAGGGGCCTTTGCCTAGCAAATTGGTCTAGTCCCACGCACGGCGGTCAAATCCGTAGCCCATACATAGTACCTGGCTTTTCGTAAGAGAAAGAAAAAAAAAGGGTCACGAGATATGAAGAAATTTGCATCTGGAATCACGAACGTGGCCGGGACCCCAAGCAGATACGGGGTAACCACAGATCCAAATTACAATGGATGCGGACTACGCTGTTTGCAGGCTATCGACGGAGACAGTCGGGCTAGATCTGGGCTTTCCCCTGTCCTGGCTGGCTCTTGTGCTATCATCACATGACACTGCTGGCGGGACTTGGCCAGGCACTGATAGGCGCAGCCCAGCCCCAGACATGCCCAGACGCCCATTATCATATCATCATGCCGGCTGGAGCTGCACGCACGCACGGGCTGCAACATGCCATCCAGTCGTGCACGGCAAGACGGCCATTGCGCATTCCTACGCCTCTGATATCCGGCAACAGACAGTCAGTCAGTCATGCGGCCTCCCCGTAGCGGGCGGTTCGTTCCAGACGCTCCAGCGGAGGCGCGAGATGCTATAGGCTGGCTGTTTGAGGTGTGGATGGTGTGTGGCTTTGCGCTGCCGGTCAGTGGAGCCTCGTCTGGGGGGCGTGTTGAATCTTTTCCACGTCTGGAAACCATGACGCCGTCTCTGTTGCAGGTCCTTGCTTTCCCGCCGTCCGGACCAACGGGCCAGCCAGGCTGCTATCGCCAAACAGCAATCATTGTCCAAATGGCAGCCCGTGGTGTAGCAGCGGTGATGAGGAGGATTGATGGACAGCCGAGCTCTGACGTCGAGGTCGTCGGCGAGCAGGAAACGTGCCAATTCTGGCACGGGGAGAGGGCAATTGGCAACGAACGAATGAGAGCCAAGGTTTATCCCTTAGATCCAGCATGTCCTTTCGCAGTTAGATTCTATATCAAATCTGCTTTCTCCCCGCTTTCTCCTCTCTTGGCCTGCTTCCCTTCTCCTCCCTCACCTCTCGTAGCAAATCCAAGTTACCCAGACCACGGTTATCACTGACCAACAACAACCGAAATCTTCTCCGATACGGATCCAGCATCGCCGTCAATTGTCCCGGAGGATTGAAATCTATACAGGGATATAGTACACCATCGACGCCCGTTGCCCGCTGATATCCAGACCTTGGCGCCGCACGCCCACGACTTCTTCCGAGATAATATCGTGCCCCGTCTCTGACTTCTACCCCTCGGCTCCACACGGGGCAAGCAATAAGCAGTCTAGAAGGTATCGTCATGGTGACCATCCTGGCCTAGCTGGCAGAGATTCCAGGCAAACAAGCTGACTCGGTAGACTTCCATTCTACTTGATCTACCCGGCTGTGGAGAACCGCAGCCCGATATCACACGCCCCTGTCGTTTTCTTCGTCGACCTTTGTTGCTTTGTACCTTTGACTGCCATCGAGGCATTGCTTCAAAAGTTTATATTAACCATGAAGGACCCCGTCTACAGAACTGCTTCTCCCTATCCCAACCCATCCGTTCCCAACCCAAAACAACAAAGCCTCAAAGCTGGACCCGACTTGCGCAAGAGTAAGACGCACCTCTCTCTCGCCATCACTTGGCTCTTCCTACATACCACCTCCACACTCTGTCGTTGCTCACACGACTAACACCATCGTCATCTACAGTGCTTACCCACAACTCCGTCAACAAGACCGCTCTTCACCCAGGCGGTGTCCAGTGAGTCTTCTCCTACTGCTCACTGCCGTCGAGGGTGAAGCGTACTGACCAAACCATCAGGCCCCATGTATCGCACACCGAACTGGAAGAAGAGCTTCACGAGACTGCCCACATCGACTATGACCGCGTCGCCATTGTACGTGCATCTTACGTCACCTGCCCAATCGATCGAGACTTGTCTTCGAAAGGGCCGGACGAAGCCGCACATGATCACTAACACGCCGGTTATAGATTGCCAACCCCTCAGTAGCAGTTCTCTACGAAGATGCGCTGGTCTACGAGACCGGCACTGCCATCACATCCAGCGGCGCCTTGACGGCTTACTCTGGTCAGAAGACCGGCCGCTCGCCCCTCGATAAGCGTATCGTCGAGGAGCCCTCATCAAAAGACAACATCTGGTAAGTGAACAACGCCGTTCCTGCAGCTGATTTGGCAATGATTAACATAACCGGCAGGTGGGGCCCCGTGAACAAGCCTATGTCGCCCGAGGTATGTGAATGCTTTTCCTTCTGACTGGCTCAAGACTCCCGAGTCTTGCCTTGGTTTCCAAGTCCCGTGTACCTTTGTCCTGGGAGGTTGCACTCTCAGGCCCCCCTTTTCCCCAGCCCAACTGGCGTGCAGCCGGTACAACTCTATTTGCGCCCGAAGCCTGAATGGGACAGCCTGCCACCACGGCATCTCAGCTCGGCTATGCTGTCGGAGATGGGCGGGTCTGCCATCTGGGGCTCGGTCATCGTCCGTGTCTTAGGCTTCGGGCCCAAGGCGAGTCGTGTGCCTGCAAGCCATATTCGCTTCCATGACAGGGGCTAGAACCCACCCCTGCCCAGCGCAGCGTGTTCATGCAGTCCTTCCGCCTGGCCAAGTGGCCCAGGCTGATGCAGAGATGATTTCCTCACCGCGCTCTAGCTCTATCAGGCCTGGTCCTTGATGAGCCAGTCGCGAATTCCTCCGAGCTCCCCGTATTCCAGGCTCTTGCCGTTGCTGCTGCTGCTGCATGTCTGCACGGACCTGCTGGCGGGTTGAGTTTCCCATAATCTGGGACGGACCTGCAGTCATGTGATGATCGACGCTTTTCCCCCTCTCCGACTTTCTTGGATTGGGATAGCCGACAGTACCCGTCACACCCCCACCCCCCTGCCTCCCGCTCGCCCATCTATCTCATCATGGTCCACATTCTTTGAAGAGTAGTGTTAGCTGACATAATTCGTCCTCAAGGTCTGGAAGATCAACCGTGAGCGTGCTGTCGACTACCTCAACACCCGTAACCGCATCTACGTCGTTGACGGTTACGCTGGCTGGGATGAGAAGTACAGGATCCGCGTGCGTGTCATCTGCGCCCGTGCCTACCATGCCCTCTTCATGAGGAACATGCTCATCCGCCCTCCTCGTGAGGAGCTCGAGCACTTCCACCCCGACTACACCATCTACAATGCCGGTGCCTTCCCTGCCAACCGCTTCACTGAGGGTATGACCTCTGCCACCTCCGTCGCTATCAACTTCGAAGCCAAGGAGATGGTTATTCTCGGTACCGAGTATGCTGGTGAGATGAAGAAGGGTGTCTTCACCGTCCTCTTCTACGAGATGCCCATCAAGCACAACGTCCTCACCCTGCACTCCTCTGCCAACGAGGGCAAGAACGGTGATGTCACCGTTTTCTTCGGTCTGTCCGGCACTGGCAAGACCACTCTGTCTGCTGACCCCAACCGTGCCCTCATCGGTGACGACGAGCACTGCTGGAGCGACCGCGGTGTCTTCAACATTGAGGGTGGATGCTACGCCAAGACCATTGGCCTGTCCGCCGAGAAGGAGCCCGATATTTTCAACGCCATCCGATTCGGCTCCGTCCTTGAGAACGTCGTCTTCGACACCGAGACCCGTGAGGTCGACTACGACAACGCTGCTCTTACCGAGAACACCCGATGTGCCTACCCTATCGAGTACATTCCCAACGCCAAGATTCCTTGCCTGTCTGAGAACATGCCTAGCAACATCATTCTCCTGACCTGCGATGCCCGTGGTGTCCTGCCTCCCATCTCCAAGCTCGACCGCGCCCAGACCATGTTCCACTTCATCTCTGGTTACACCTCCAAGATGGCCGGCACTGAGGACGGTGTCACCGAGCCCCAGGCTACCTTCTCCAGCTGCTTCGCCCAGCCCTTCCTGGCTCTTCACCCCATGAAGTACGCCAAGATGCTCGCAGACAAGATCGACCAGCACAAGGCCAACGCCTGGCTCCTCAACACCGGTTGGGTCGGTGCCGGCCACGCCCAGGGCGGTAAGCGTTGCCCTCTCAAGTACACTCGTGCCATCCTGGATGCCATCCACTCTGGTGAGCTCAACAACGTCGAGTACGAGAACTACGGAGTCTTCAACCTCCAGGTTCCCAAGACCTGCCCCGGTGTTCCCGATGATCTCCTGAACCCCTCCAAGGCCTGGACTGCCGGTGCCGACAGCTTCCAGAACGAGGTTGTCAAGCTGGGCAAGCTCTTCCGCGAGAACTTCACCAAGTACGAGAGCGAGGCCACCGAGGACGTCGTCAAGGCTGGTCCCCAGGTATAAATGGGCTCACCAAGGGAAGTGAGAAGAAAAAAAGATTTTGGAAAATATTTCGCCAGACAAGTCAGCCACTTCCGCTCGCGCGGGGTACTTGATTTGCGGCTTTTTTGCACATATGAATCATGATAGGGTTTTTATCCTAGGGTCGGCGTATTTTTTATAGCATCTGGGTTTTACCCTCTGCTTCGCCAGAGGAAGAGTTATTACATTTGGGATTACACATGAGATTGTCCTCGATGAGGCAGTTGAGTCTTGTCAAGCTTAATGAAAGCCATATGATCAATATTACATGCATATTTTACTTTAATTGTTGCTATTCCACCAAGCCCTTGTGAAGTGAAAATGCTATGCCGGCAGATTGATATAAATTTGACCTTGACTTATAGTTCGGAGCCTGGATAGGAAATTTAGTCCTAGTCTGACTGGCTCGTTGTAACTGTGACTTCTCTAGGAGCCCGGATGTCTCGTAATAGATACCTAACTCATTACAAGTTGGGGCTTTTCTTATGGTTGTTAGTTGATGACCTCTACAGTCACCCAAGACTGAGGTAGACTCTGATAGGTAAAAATCGTATCATGGTCGGTCCTGCATTAACAAAATGTACGCTGAAGTATTTAGGCTATCATTTCACGAGATGGACAGTTTTGGGCCTCGTTGCCAACGCAGGAGTGTGATGTTTGGCACTTCCCATATCCTTCACGGCTGACGTTGGCGGTTAACTTCTGTTAATGTGCTGGACCCACCCTGACTGATAACACTGTGCGGCTCCATCGATAAGGATAAGGCTCTGTTGATGCGGGGGACCAGGCAGCAAGGGCTTGTTGCTGGGCCAATGAGGTCATGAACCCAGACCCAAAACACCACCAGTTTTTGTAGCGTCTACATGGTTTGTACATCGCCAAAGTGCATGGAGGGTCTCTCCCAACACCCAACTGCACGCTCGCCGTTCTCGCCCTATGGGTAGCCACGACTTTTCGAACAACAAGCCAGGTGCTAAATTCGCATATAAACCCACCAACACCCTGTTCTCGTCCCAGAAGCCAGACTTCTCCAAATTTCCTCGACGAGTTAAACGAACCATCGCTCGAGCGCCTCAAGACCACGATACCGCCCCTCCTCATATTTGCAGCACCGCAGAACCTCTCCCCAAAACCTTTCCCTTGCAGGTCCTACGGCCCGCCATGGTCAACGAGCGTGCGCCCCCGAAGGCGTCGGCGCCACTACGCACCATGTCGTCAAGCCAAGACAACATCCGACGCGACCAGACTCCAGACGATGACGACGACTTTGACGTTATTAGTGCCATGAAAGGTCTCTCCTCCGTCAAGAGTTCTGTAATACAGAGCTTGCAAGATCCCGCCCACCCCTCCGGCTCGACGGACCGGCCTCGATTCGGCCATCCCCAGATGCTCTCTTCGCGGCAGCAAAAGGCTAGCAGCGTTTTCATCCACCAGAAGACGAGACCCGAGCACCACCTGGACGCCAGAAAGATCCAGCAACCGCAGGCACCAAAGTACAAGGATAGGAAGGCTCCTCCCTTGGCAGTGTTTGAGTCCAATGTGTTCGCTGCCCCGCACTCTTCCTCCGGCAGGACTGGCAGCGGCGAAGTATTCTATACGGACCCCAACAAGGCCAGCGCGGACCTCAAGGACCTCCTCGAAGGTGTCATGGATGATGAGGAAGAAGAGTCGTCTGACGAGGCAAAAGATGAAAAGCCGAAGGAGGAAGTGAAGGAGGAGGAAGACAACAAGAGACCAGGCATCGTCGACCCAAAGACTGGCACTGTACCCGGTCTCAAGGTCAAGCTGCTGCCGCATCAAGTGGAAGGTGTAGAGTGGATGCGTGGCCGTGAGCTCGGCCCAGTCAAGCGAGGCAAGGTGCCCAAGGGCGGTATCCTCGCCGACGACATGGGTCTGGGCAAGACCTTGCAGACAATCACGCTCATTCTTAACAACCAGAAGCCCAAGCCCGAAGAGAAGGCGTGGAAGAAGCATTACGAAGCAATCAATAAGGCAACCCTCGTCGTGGCGCCATTGGCTCTCATCAGGCAGTGGGAGGCTGAGATCAACGAGAAGATTGCCAAGCAGCACCAGCTCAAAGTCTGCGTGCATCATGGCCCCAACCGTACTAAGAGCTTCAAAGAACTGGCCTCATACGACATTGTTGTGACGACCTACCAGATCCTGGTGTCTGAGCACGGAAACTCCTCACCGGCAGATGACGGACCGAAGACGGGTTGCTTCGGCCTCCACTGGTGGCGAGTTGTCCTTGACGAGGCCCATACAATCAAGAATCGCAATGCCAAGGCAACAAAAGCCTGCTACGCTCTGCGTTCTGAATACCGGTGGTGCCTTTCTGGCACACCCATGCAGAACAACCTGGATGAGCTTCAATCCCTGGTCAAGTTCCTCCGTATCAAGCCTTATGATGATCTCAAAGAATGGAAAGCGCAGATTGATCACCCTCTGAAGAACGGCAAAGGCCACATTGCCATTCGGAGATTGCACAGTCTGCTTCGATGCTTCATGAAGAGACGAACCAAAGAGATTCTGAAAGAGAAGGGAGCTCTGAACCCTGGCGGTGAGCCATCCAAGGAGGGCGAAGCCTCGTCGACTGGGTTCAAGGTGACCGAGCGAAAAGTTGTATCTGTCAAGACCGATCTGTCTGCTGCCGAGCGTAAATTCTACAACAAACTCGAAGCTCGTGCTGACAGGAGTATCGAGGCTATGATGGGCGGCAAGGTGAACTACGCAAGTGCGCTGACCCTGCTGCTGCGAATGAGACAGGCATGCAATCATCCCAGGTTGATCGCTGGCAAGTTGGACAGCGATGCTCTCTCTGCGGATATGAGCCAAAAGCCCCCTCAGGATGCTGATGTCGATGCCATGGCTGATATGTTCGCCGGCATGGGAATAGCATCCCGGAGCTGCAATGTATGTGGCTTGCAACTTGGGTATGATGACAACAAGAGCGGAAGAGAAACATGCTCGGCCTGTCAGGAAGATCTCGCCCTATTTCAGAGCGAAGTGAGCACGACCCATGTGAAGCCAAAGAAGGAGAAAAGGAAGAAGACCAAGTCCAAATCTAAATCTAAGTCTAAGTCCAAGTCCAAGGAGAAGAAAGAGGAGGAGGCCGACTCCCCTATCAAGAAGACGTCCCGCCGGCCGAGGAACCGCAACGCTATTGTTGACAGCGACGATGAGGACGAGGAAGAAGCCGGTAGCTGGCTTGTCCCTGAAGACGAGCGTGGAAGCACCAATCTGGGCAAGGCTGGAGGTGAGGAAGACGAGAACGCTGAGGGAGGCGGCGATTGGATTGGATCTGACGATTCAGAGGAGGAGGAAGATGACGCAGACAAGGATAAGAGCAATCTGAGCAGCTTCGTTGTTGATGATGAAACTGCAAGAAAAGAAAAGGGTTATACCTCCACTGCAGAAGAGAGCGACGACGACGACTCTCTACTTTCCATCTCGGCTCTCACGAAACAGATGGCTTCTCAGACGCTGGAGGACAAGCCCGCCTCTAAAGCGAAGCTGAAGGCAAATGCGATTTCCGAAACGGACGAGACTGAAGAGGAAGACTCCGACTCTGAAGAATCAAGCACCGAAGAATCCGACTCTGAGGCTTCAAGTGAGGATGAAGACGAGGATGACTGGGATATCCGTCACGGCGCCCGTGGTGTTGATGTTGTAGCCTCAGCCAAGATTCGCGAGCTCATCAAGATTCTCCAGAACGAAGCCAAAGAGCACAAGTTCATTGTCTTTTCACAGTTCACCTCAATGCTAGATCTCGTCGAGCCCTTCCTGTACAAGGAGGGCTTTGTCTTTACGAGATACGACGGTAGCATGAAGAATGATCAGCGCGAGGAGAGTCTTAGCCGTCTTCGCAAGGACGCCAAGACCCGAATTCTACTCTGTAGTTTGAAGTGTGGTAGTCTGGGACTCAACTTGACCGCTGCAACGAGAGTGGTTATTATTGAACCTTTCTGGAATCCCGTAAGTAACACTTGATTCAAGCCTAAACGTATCTTGTTTCTAACCCTTCATCACAGTTCATCGAGGAACAGGCCATCGACCGAGTACATCGTCTCACCCAAACCGTGGACGTCACGGTCTACAAACTCACGGCGAAGGATACCATCGAAGAACGTATCGTTGACCTTCAGGAGAAGAAGCGTCTCCTCGCTGAGCAGGCCATCGAAGGTGGCATGAAGAAGGGAGCCTTCAAGCTCGGTCTCAACGAGATTATTGAGCTCTTCAAGCCGGGGAGCCACGCTGAGGAGAATGCTTACGTTCCTGGCAGCACAGGTGACGTGCGCCAGGCCGCGAGAGACGCCGGTAGCGTCATGAGAAAGAAGCCAGCCGGTCTTCAGAGACAGGAGAGCGAGGTGTATGGTCGACGATGGTAGTTTACTCCACTGGTTGATGTTTCGGGCTATTTGGCGTACATGGATCATTTTTGGTATCGTTCGCTGGTTTTGACAGGCCGAAAACTGCCTCTTGTTGGCAAGATGAATTATGATGATGACAGGATCGGATGTTTTGGAATTCTCTTGATAAGAGGAGATTGGTCTAGGCGTTGGGGAACACATAGACTCAGGAGCTGGTCTGCCTTCCACCCTGGAGGTGAAACTCACGAGAGGAATGGTCTTTAGAATCTACTTTTTAGATAAGACTACCTAGACGAGACAACCTAGACGAGCTCTTCAGCTTGACGAAAATGGATTGAAATGTTATGGCACGGTCATCGAAGTTGTAAAGCCGGTGACTGTTATTATGGCTCGCTCAAAACCCAAACCTCATCCGGTCTTATTGGCCTACGTCCAAAATAGGCAATCGCTACTGCCCAGGTTTTGCATATCATTCATAAACGTCGCAGTCTTGTCCACAGAATCACCCAGCATATCGACCAACTCACCATTTTGCTTGCAAAGATATCCGCAGAAGCGCCTCAGCCCAGAGATGCGCTGGCATTATCTTTCGTCGGCTTTGACTGAAATTAGGATACCCCGAGAGACAATCACCCGCAAAGACGCAAGCCAAGCAATCGCATACACTGCAGCTCGGCAAACCTCCAATTGCGTCGCTGCATATCTCCATATGCGTCACGGGCGAGACACCGTTTTATGAGACAGGCGCTTAAGTGCCCCTGCTCCCGAGACGTGTCTATTTTTAAACCTGAGCGGAATGCCTGAGTTCCTCTCACTCTCATGCCCAAGGGCGGGGGCTGCACCTGCGGAAAAGATCCAATCAATCCAACAGCGCTTCGTTACGCGCCGGCGGCTGCATCGTTGAGATTGAAACCGACCCGTTCGCCCAATGAAATGAATCAAACAAAAATGAGACATCCCTGCCGCAAACCCTGACCTACTTGGAACTGGCAGGGCAGGACATGCAGCATGCGGTCTTTGGTACGCCTGCCCAGCCCTACAGCTGGTCGAGAGGCCGGTGTCTAGGTACGACATGGCAGATATAAGAGCCAGTGACACTCGCTGAGACACTGCAACGTCATATCGGCAATACTCTCGCCATGGCGCCAGTCACGAATCTAAGCTACGAGCCCGTCAGTCCCGTGGAGCCTGAACCACACTCGATGAGGCGCGGGAGAGAGCCCCATGGTCTGCCCAAGGGAGGCTCTCGGGTTACCGAGGTGCTGCCTTCTCCCAACGACTCTGTCTGGACTCTCCAAGACGAGCGGCGGGCGAGGACGCCGCCAGGAGGACATGGCGAAAAGGCCCAGGTGAAGCTGGGAATGATGGAGCGGCTCGAGGAAACGTGGATATGGGAGACGCTGGCCCTCACTTGGGCGCTCATGTGCCTCGCCTCAGTAATTGCTGTCCTGGCCTTCATTTCCGGCAAATCAGTCTCCTCGTGGAAGATGCCGATCGGGCCCAACGCACTGGTCGGTGTGTTTTCCACTCTCTCCAAAGCCGCCTTGATGACGGTCATCCCGGCGTGCATATCGCAGCTCAAATGGATTCACTTCTCCCAGTCCCCCAGGCGCCTCATTGACATGCAGGCCTATGACGATGCGAGCCGTGGGCCGTTTGGCTCCCTGCTCTTCTTGCACAGTCTGATAGTGAGAAGGGGACGGTCGAAAGTGTCCGCCTTGGCCGCGGTGGGCTGCTTCATCACCACCGTGGCCCTGGCACTCGAGCCCTTCACGCAGCAGATCATCAGCTTCCGCATCCGAGAAATCGAGCTCGGTGACGGTCAAGGAACTGCCAGTCTGGCTGTGGCCACTGCTTATGATACCAACGCTGACACCAGGTCTGGCACTTGGAGACGAGGTAAATTCACCACTCCCCTTCTACTCATGCTCTTGTCACTAACAAGTACAATCCACAGAGGTCATGGACCAGTCTATGCAAGGCGCCATTCTAGCCGGCATCTTCTCGCAGACCATCGACACGGGCGCCTATGAACAGTGCTCGACGTCGAATTGCTCGTGGCCCGTCGCCAGTTCCCTGAGCATCTGCTCCTCTTGCCAGGACGTAACAGCCTCGACAGCCAAGAACTGCAGCGGCACACTGGCGACAAAGGCCCAGATCTGCAACTACACGACGCCTGCAAGGAATGAGCTGGCGGCAGAGAGAGGGCCAGGGGGAAGCTCGACCTACTATGCCACATGGATCGACACATCAGCTCGCTTCGGCAGCGACACCATAAACGACGGGGCGCCGGCCATAATCAGCAGCGTCGCCATGCTCCGAACGCAGGACCCCAGAAACGTGACAGGCTCCCCGAACACTTTCAACGCCCACATCGACGAGTGCCATTTCTACTGGTGCAAGATAACGTACAACGAGAACCGCATCTTCGCAAACGGCTCGCGGATCTCCGAGACCTCGAGGGAACTCCTCAACTGGGACCAGTCCAAACGCGTGCCCAAGGTGGCGGTAATCGACAAGGGGAACACAACCTCCTACACCATCAACGTGATCGACTCCTCGGGCATCGCCCGCATGCTCCAGTCCCTCTTCTCCACGTCCCTCATCTACCAGGGGTACAACAACCCGGTTGAGACGGAGTTCAGCATCGCGCAGCTCCTGTACAACACGGCCAACTTCTCCAGCCTGATGGAGTACACCGCGTCGAGCATGTCGGCGAGGCTGCGCTCGGGCAGCGGCAGCGTTACCAGCAATGTCACCCACGTCCGGGGCACCGCCATGCACACCGAGACCTACATCCACGTGAACTGGGCCTGGATGACGCTGCCCGCCGCCGCCGCCCTCGCCTCAATCATCTTCCTGGCGGTCACAGTCGTCGTCAACGCGCGTCAGGACGGCTGGCTCTGGAGGACGAGCGTCCTGCCGTTCATGTTCGTCGGCAGATCCTGGGGCGTGGACGAGATACCTACAGGAGCAGGCAAGGGGTCCGTCTCAGGCATGGAGCGGATCGCAGTGGAGAAGACCGCTCTCTGTGACGACTTCATCAAGAAGAGGAGGTACGATGATGCGGAAGGCAATGATGGGTTGAGAAGACGATTTAGCTGATAAAGTATACATAATGATGAATGATGATTTCAAGTTACAAATGCCCAAGTTAGACCAACCCTGTGAACCAATTGTAGCCCATCAGTGTCCATCTCAACCAGAACTGTGGCTTTTCGTGATGAAAGTAAGCCCTGGTTGAGTAAATCTGGCTCCCAAGCGGTGAGAGTCCACTTTCCAGATATGTCCTATAGTTCGGGGCTGCTGAGAGGACTAGGATTTTCGTACGGCTACAAGACCAAGCCTATCTATCAATTGCCTTGGGAATGTTTATGCATACTTGCTCTATCCACAAAGTGTAAGAGACGGTGGCTACAAATGCAACCAGCAAAAAGGTAGTCATCAAGAACTTCATTATCAAACCCACCAAGGAGGCGTGCTAGACGTAAATGCTAAGAAATAATACTATAATAACAAACTCCCCAGAGCACCAGAAAGAACCGACTGCTCATGACACGCAAGCACAAATTGTCCCCATATCCACCAAGACAATAGCTCTACTCGATCCAGAGACTCCTACATGTACATCACTCTTTTGATGAACACTGTCGCAACTAATACGCACCACTATGGTAGTAGTCGTTTGGTGCAGGGGCGCTTGGTCCGGAGTTTTCTAGACCCCCCGCAGGTACATAAGGTTTATATTGGGGGGTTTGTCCTGCGTGTTGGCTAGGTAGTCCTTGGCGAGCATCATATGCAGGACCACCAAGCTGGAGAGGGGCCGGTGCCATGCTATCAGAGGGCACTTGTGGAGGCTGGCCGGTTGGCATCGGAGGCGGAGTTTGAGCTGTAGTGCCGTAAGTCTGGTAGGATGGCTGGCCAGGGACGAAGGGCGCGGGTGGCGCACTGGGTCCGCTTGGTGGCCCTGCATAAGGGTTGCTGTCATCCGGGGAATAATTTGGGTTGGGAGAGAAGTTGGCAGGTGGCTGAGGATGATCGCCTGTTATAGGAGAGCCGAACCCGGACCCTGAGGCGGCAAGTTCTTGGACACCATATGTGCTTGGTGGACGGCCACCGGCGGTTTGGTTAGGAGGTTGGCCATAAGCAGAATAATGCTGCGGTGGAGATGATGGGTTGATAGGTCCTGGCGGCTTGACAGTGTTCTGTGAGTGGACGTGAGCTTGCTCCCTACCACCAAACTGTGGAGCGGGAGGTTGAGGCTGGGGGACATTGGCGTGAGTTGAGGGAACCTCTGCTCCTGCTACATAGAAGGGAGCAGAAGACACGGGGTTTTGTGCGGAAAAGTTGGGAGGTGGTGAAGATGGCTGATACGGAGGATGGTCTAAACACTTCATTAGCGAGCACATTCATAGAAGGCCATAGAAGGCCGGCTGAGTTCCAAAAACAGACCTTGGGGCGGAGCACCTGGGCCTGGTTGAGGAGTGTAGAACCTTTGAGGCTCAGACTGCGGGGGAGGTTGTTGAGGATATCCACCAGGGGCTTGAGGGTAACCTTGGCCTGGGATAGCAGGACGCATAGCATATTGCGTATAGCTGTGCTGAGGAGGGTGGGACATGGATGATTCGAGCAGTGCCTCGTAATCTCTACGTGCCTTGATGAATTTCTCGTTAAGCTGTGTAAAGTCGTCTGGATATATGTTAGTTGAGCTCTCTCAAGATGGTCTTGGCTCGACATACCCTTCTTCTGCGAATACTTCTCAATAAGCTTGATGAGCTTTGGACGGATGGCAAGTGTCTGGTGATAGAGTTTCTATAATAAGTGTCAGCGAAGCTCGGAGCGATTTTTGGCACTGTTGATAGATTTCAAGATGAACGGAAGGGCTTACTGAGATCTCCTCATTATCCTCCTCGCGGGGCGCCGTATTGGACGCACTCAACAGAGTCAACAGCTTCTCCACATTCTTGATCTCTGCAAAGACTTCGGCCTCCATCTGTGCCTCCCGTTGCAGCTCGTCCGTGGTCGGGTCTGTGAGCTTCTCAACATAGTTGAGGGGGAAGATGCCCGTCTTCCCCTTGAGCGAGCCGCGCCACCAATCCTTGTAGACGCTCTCCAGGACAGCAATGACATCACCGCGCTTGAACTCCAGCTCTCCTGGCTCTGAGGGTGCGAAGTCGTAGAGAGCGCGAACCCTGCTAACAGTAGCGGCGGTGGTGCCCGCAGGAACTGGCGCAGGAGGTGTGCTGTCTTTCTGCTTCCCACCAGCCTCGCCCTGGCTGCCCGAACCGGAGGGGCCAGCCTTCTTCCGCTCCTCCTCTTGCAAACTCAGCTTCAGCGCCATCTGAAGCTCGTCGTCCTCCTTCTGTCTGTCGGTTTCGGTAAGACCCTGTTTCTGAGGGGCGCTCGGGGCTTGGAGCGTCGGGTTGCTCTGCTTGAGGCGGAAATAGGCGTCGTACATGATACCAAGATCGGGGTCGTCCTTGAACATGTCGCTCCAGTCCTGCATCTTCTCAAGAATCTTCGTCTTGACCTGGGAGTGCGTATTTCTGTCGTTGGCCAGCTTAAGAAGGGCATCGGTAAAGGCTCTGCTTGAGACCTCGCGATGAACATTCTTGCCACAGTTCTGGCACAGGGCGTGGGCAACCTATAAGAGAGCTCGACTGTCAGCGACCATGTCTACTGGCTCGTATGCGCAACGGGATAAACTGGGAGAGCCAACTAACCTCGAGTGTATAGAGCTGCACGTTGGCGTTGCGGTGAGCTAGTCGCTTGATGAGGCTCTGAACAACTTCCTTGGGTCCGTTGGCATCGGTCGACACTTTATCGCACACCTCGAGGATTGCGCCCCAGTCCTCTGAGGTGGCGTTCTCGTCGGTCGCCTTCGCTATTAGCAAGCAGTCAGCGGTCGTTTATCCAAACGATCCCAAGATCGGGAGAGGTCTCCCTAGGGAATACCCACCGACGGCCTCATCGTAGGGCCCCGCGGCTGCCGCTCTGAACATGGCTGGCTTGCTGGATAATCAATACTGGGCACCGGCCTGGGGTCGTCTGGAGGTTGCGCTGAGCGAGAATGGCCCGTCTCTCAAATTGATGTTGCAGGAGGCAGGTTTCGAGGAGCCAGCCAATCTAGTAGATACAGGACCGTCGATAATAAGTGGGCAGCTGCGGAAGAGTCACTGCGCCCCAAAAGCTGTGTCGCGGGAAGTTGCAGCGAGCGACAAAGGCTGAGCTGGGCGTTGGATGTGGTGGAGCTGGAGCAGGAGCACAGGACAGACAGTTCGTCATCAAGCCAGAACCTACGCGGCGCCGTGGTGGGGCAGAGCTTCTGGGGGTTATTATAGTGCCGGCCCAGCTAGCGAACAGGCACCTAACGCCTGGTAGCACCTCCTCGGCCTTCCAGCGCTCCAAGTACTCGCCCGCCTGCGAACCGCCTGAGGATACAGCCGGCTACTGCTACCTGATCCTTCTACATGATCGCTACCAAGCCCGTTAATGATGTCCGCGTTACGTATTGCACCGCCACACGCCACTTCCCGCCCCCCTCGGACTGCTGCTGGGAGAACACGAGCGCAGAACCGTGCGTAATGGAATACGTGCATCCTTGACCGGTGCCAAGATCGCAAATACAGCTATTTGCAGCAATTTCCTTTTTATTACGTGTGCGCATATCAGATCGGCGAGAGGGTTTATTCAAATGCTCGCACTGTCGAGATGCGCCACTCGGCTCCAGCCTTGGAGCCCTCCAGGATTACGAACGTGTGGCTGCGCAGTATGGGCCAAGCATGGGCTATAACATTAACCAGTTTAGCATTTCGCTTATTTTGACCAAACCGATCAGATTCCAGATGTGATTCAATATTTTCGTCCCAAGGCAAATATCTTTTCGTTTCTGTCAGCTTTCCAACTCGAGCAAATTCTCCTTCTTCCCACGCCATAGAGGTAAAATCTCTGTAAGACCTCGGACATTGCCAGAAGAATAGTTGAAAGGCACACAACCAAACTGTAAATGTAGAGACTTTATAATGCTATATAACACCAGCTCTCGCAAATAAATACAGCCTGGCTACATGTATCTTCGCCTGGTGTACATACCATCTCCCGTAGCCTGAAAATCAAATTGCCCCCAAATACAGTTGTCATTCATTCTTGCTCTCCAGCTCCGTAGTCCAGAGATGTCATGTAACCGGTACACATGTGCTTATTTCCCTTGTCCAAATAAACTCCCCAAACCTGTGCTCTTGCAACCAATGCCTAGACGCCGGGGCCGACTCATCGCTGTGTCCTCGCCTTCCTGTTCAATCATCATAGACTCAAGATCTTTGTATATATGTACCACATCTGTGGGTTTTTAGTTCTTTTTTTTTTTTTCCAATTTACCATCCCCTTCTAGAAGCACCTCGGCTCTCTGCGCCACCTCTGTCGGAACCAACCTGGCCGCCACCTCGACCTTCTTCAAGACTCCGTCTGCTCTGAGCATCCATTTCGGACAGGTCGAACACCAATGGTTCATCACTGATGGAATCGTTATCCTCGCGGGCCAGCCTGCTTGAAGAGCCGTTGAAACTACCTCGTGACGACTGCGGTGGGGTTTGTCTGTGTTGTGTGTTCATCATGCCTGTGTATCGACGTCTTCCGTAAGGTGAGCTCGATGGAATGCCGGCCATGAATCCGTCTGACGGGTTATCGTCAACTGAGTCTCGAGGGATTCCTGCCCCTGCCGAAGCAGGTTGGATCTCTGCCGCAGCTCCAAGGACATCAGTGCCAATCTGCTGCTCGGTGGCCTCTGCCCCTAGCTGGCGGCCGAGAAGTCTGCTGATCGTCGGTGGCTCTCTGTCATCTGCACCCAGGCTGATGCTTCGATTGGCTGCAGCAAAGGGTAAATCGGCGTCGTCTTCAATTACAGCTCGGGTCTGTTGCGCTACGGAACTGGATCGACGCTGGTAAGCACCAAGCCTAGGCGACAAGGGAATATCGATCGCAGTTGTTCCCTCTTGCCTGATCGTGCTCTCCCTACTTGACTCGGGAACAACCGATTCCGTGGGCCGGCGGTTGCGAGATGGCAATCTGCCGTGAGAAGAGTCGTCTGCAACAGAATTCTCGCTCAACCTTGACGGGATAGCGGGCGTGTGAGGGGTATGGGGTGAGTGCGGTTTGCTAGGAGATGATGAAGCTGACATGGACACACCAGGCACGCTTGCTAGCTGCCTGCTGGACGAGCTTGACGAACGTTGCATTTGTATAGATGAATTCATCGAATCCGTAAGCGCAGCGTTGGAATCCTTCATTAAGTGAAACCTTGAAAGTTGTGCAACGGTTCGATTCGTAGCTGATTCCCCTCGCTTGGTCGTGTCGAAACTCTTCAAGGTCCGCTTGCTATCTATGGCCTTTAGAAAATCGGATATGTTGTCTTCCTCGGCTTGCAAGGAGCCGGAACTAGTGCCGGGCTCGGCCAAAAGACCTGAGCCTGGCTGGGCAATTGATGAAGCAAGGCTCTGCCGCCCACTGCTTCCTTGCTCATCATCTACAGGCCTATTTGCGCCGCTGATGGACAAGCGGCCACGTCGATGAGTGAAACTGCTACTGTAGCGACTGACAGAACCGGTACGTGGTGAAGAAGAGCCCAGCGGTTCCGTGGATTGTGGCGGCGGGCCGCCTCGTAGGGAGGCAGGCATTCCAGCGGTAAGCGACGTACGGTTGCGAGGTTGTGACAAAGAAGGAACGCCGCTTAAGCGAGACGAAGTGTGGGATGAAGCAAAACCCTCCGCGTCTCCCTGCCTTGGGATTGGAGATCCAGACAAAGATCCGGCCTTGAAGGGTTGGAACGAAATAGATGGCCGCCTTCCGTGCTCATTGTCTCCTTTTCGACTTGGGCGGGCTGCCGAGGCATGGCTTGTAATAGGCAGAGAATTGGGGGGCTCGATACCGGGTTGAGGAGAAAACGAAGCAGGTGGTGAGCTTGATGCTGATCCTGGCGATTTGACTGCCTTCAGCGCTGAGATGGGACTTGTACCTAAGGGCCCGTCTCCGTGGAACGTAGATAAACTGCCATAGGTTTGGCCGATATTTGACAAGGGTTCAGGCCGGTCGCTTTGGAGTGACCCGATTTGCGCCGTCTGTTGTTGCCCACTACCCCGATTCCGTTGAGTCAAGGAAGGCTTGAAAAAGTCTTCATCAATTCCCATGAAGCGAGAACTTAACAACGCCTCCGAATCATCAACACGGAAACTGCAGTCATTGCGATATGTGACGGAAGTTTTTAAACGACCGACAGGGGTCTCGAGATCACCGAATACGTAGTCCGTCACCGGCTCTGATCTTCCCATAACTGGGTATCTGAGGAGGTCCGGGCCTGGGACTGGACCCTCAGAAGCTCGAATGCGACAGCGAGGAATTAGTGCAGGGATGGAGTTCCGAGCCAAGCCATGGCTCGCAAACTTCCAGGCTGGGAAAAGTCTTGTTGCTGTAAAGAGGGATCTAAAGAAGACGATGGCCTTTTTGTAAACAGTGGGAAGGATGGGCCCAAAGTCGTCAGTAGGAAAGCTGCCATTCGGCTCGAGCTCAACGCGCCATCTCTCCAGTATCACCTCGGTAATCTTTCCAGGTGTGCCCGATGAGCGACTTCCATTCAGCTGTTCCATAACATCCCACCTCTTTCCATCTTCGTCCACAATCGTCAGACTCTGGCTATCTTTCAACGAAGATGTGTCTAAATAGATCTCGACCGTCAACGGGGGCGGGAGGGTCTCGAGGTTTCCCGTAGGTTTCCAGGTCTTGAGCTCCTCTTTGAAGTCTTCGAACTCATCGGTCTCGATTTGGAACTTGGAGATCTGTTAGCAGAGAGGTCGCCTTCGCTCTTGTGGTTTTGAAGGGGGATTACCCATTTGCTCGTCTTCCGCTGACTGTTGGCACCTCGGCTAGGTTTGACCTTTATTCTCGAATCGATCACAAGGGTTGCAACCTTGATAAAGAAGTTCTATATCTCTTCGCGTCAGAAATGGAGGCCTCTCATCCCCTAGGCTGAGCCGTTGAGCAGAGTCGCCTACCTGAATGATCTGATCCAACTTCTTAACCGACTCTGCTGGCAGCATCTGGAGTGGTGATTGGGGGATTTCTAGAGTTGGCGATGCCACGATGTCTCTCCCAGAAACCGTAGATCCGGCCCGTGAGCGACTGGCGCCCATCGCACTGTCTCGTGAAGCATTATTTCGGTGCTGATTGACTTGGGGCGACGCCGCAGGGGAGGATACCCGCGGGGGCACCCGGGGCTGCTGATGCATGATATGTATATGTGGCAGTCGGTTTGTTATTGGATTCGGATGCGAATACTGTTCTGATTGGGACTGTCGGGGATGCGAATACAGCGTTGAAGTGATCGTCGGTTTCGTGATCGATCAGGCAAGCCGGGATCGGACATGTTCGTCCATTATGACGCCTTATCTCCAAGATCCAAGTGTCAGGGCAGACCGGCTCCCTCGAGAAAAACCAGCTCTAGATGGAAGACTGAAGCGCAGAAAGCCCACCTGGGGACACAAACATCCAGCGAGTAGCGAACCCTGATGGCTGTGCGAGGGCAGAGGGACAGTTCACGAGAGGTTAAGTCGCGGGCGCCTTGGCCGGCTACCTGCTTGCTGATATGGAGAGATGGCGTATGTCATAAGCCAAACAGTGCATATCGGCCAATGAGGACGTGGTGCTCTGCGCTTACCCCGGCTGGCTCCCCTGTGCTGCTCCCCTGATGCTGCTGGGCTTAGCGCCATGCCCCTCACAAGCTGCCTGAGCAATCCACCCGTGGGCAGACGTCAGGGCACTACGCCAGGCCTCAGGCAGTGCAGCGAGGCGACCTTGTGCCTTGTGCAGCTGGTGCCTGCAGCCTTCATGTACCTCCCAAGTACGTCGCATCAGGGAGCAAATCGCTCCATCACGTGGGAGGCTTCCGGGTTGCATGCACAGGGCCGTTTTCGTTCCTGTGATTACTCTAGAGGGAAGAAGGCATGGAATCGGAATCCCCTTTTCGTCCAAGATGGGTCTGATACGAAAATAGTAGGTATGTCGGTACAGCGGACGATAGTGATGATCACCGGTTCACCTCGAACCCACCAGCCGGCTTAGGCGCCTGCCTGCTGATAAGACCACGGCCGACTCGTCAAAATGGATCCATTGTCATCAAAGTGTTGAGATTCCCGAGGCTGCAACGCTGCTTTTGCTTACAGAGTCTGCTCCACCTCGTTGATCCGGAGCAAGTACGCCTATCTACCATGTGAAGGAGACACTACTGCAGGATACAGAACAGCCTCAGCAGTGGTTCAATTTATTGATAGACCATCCAATAATTCATCTGCAGGTTCTGAAATGACGGTACATGGGGACTTATATACAAATCGTTGTGTCCTGAAAGACCAACTCTACCCAGACATCTCGACTTTTAAGTCTGGGGACGATACTAATGACCACCTATGTTTAAAAGCACCATCTAAAGGCAATACACGAAGAGTACAATAATAACATGAGAAAAAAACATGATTTCTTACAGTAGGCAATCTCACCGGCTGTATGCGTTCGGTATGCCCGTATCAGAATGCCGCCGGATCGGAAACTTCGTGGATGAAGAACCCTACCCTGAACCGTTCATCCGCACGTTTCGGGGGGGTGGGACATCGACAACTCACTGGCCCATTGGATGGACAGTTGTCAACGAAGCTGCACTCGGTATAGATAAACGAGTTTCTTACTGAAAAATTAGTGTGCTTTCTTGCTGTTGCTGGCGTCTTTTAAAAAAGTTGCATTACTGCGCTCATCTTGGCCGCTTCTCCAGTCGAGTTCTTGTTCCGACTTCTGTATAACTAACAGATTCAGTCGATAGGTTTCTGAAGCCGAAGTCATACCCAAAACCGGTAGTATTCTAAATCATACTAGAAAACCCATACATAGGTCTATCGTCTTTACACTACTATAACCTCCTAGGTAGAAGCCGCAATAACCAGGCACGCCAACGATAACTTAAGGAGGCGTCACAAGTGCTAGAGCAAATGCAACATATCTCTGGAGCTATTCATCAATACTACTTTCCTTGAGGACAAATAGCCCTTCTGAAAGTGACCGAGGTCTCCTGGCCTATGCAGCTAGACTTGATCTAGATGTTTCGTTAGTGACTTCGACCACGCATGCTTTACACCTAAGATAGGCAATGCTGTGCCTTAATAGCCGAGTCAACGTCAAGCGACCTTTACCCAAATGGTGCTCACTTTATTTTAACCTCAAAGAGAGAAAGAAGTTTCTCTAGCTAAGATATTACTTTTGCTGATCAGCCCAGTCGGAGGAGAAAAAGCGGCGAGGGCGCTAAGACCAGGATGGTGCCATCGCAAATCTTCGTCACGGGCAGACTCAAGTACGTTTCGGGTTGCCTAGTTCTCTGTAAGACTGACTGCCCCCCAACGGCCTTGAGCAAAACAAGAGATCCAGTCATTGGCTGGCATCCATGTGCTTCCAAGCGAACGAATCGCGGGGCTATGACAAGAGTGAAAAGGGAGCCAGCCCGCAGCTCCTGTGCTGACAGCACTGGATTCCGCCTTGACGACAGGAAAATGCCTGAACACCAAGTTGGGAGGATCAACAGGCTGACCGGCAGCCACATGATGGTGTGGTTTACGATGATACCCCATACGGACGGCTCAGGATGAAAACCCCTTACCCATTCTATCTATGCGTGAATATGATATATGGCCTCCCCAGTAATAAAATAAAACCAAAAGCAAGATAAATAACACAAGTTCCACGTCGTTGTCGACTGCCACCATAACTCCGGTCTATGTGATTAACGTTGACGCAATAGAGCCAAGCCTATATGCATACTACTTTCCCCGAACGCCTTTGCCTTTCCGTGGTGCCCCTCCATCCCGATTGTGTGAAGACCCTTCAGTCTGTAGTTTGGAAGATTCATTCGACCGGCCCTTGCCTCCCCCTCGACCTCTTCGTCCACGTTGACCAGGCTTAGGGTCCTGCTTTTCCCCTCTGGTTTGACGCCTGGCCTCTTCTTCTTGTGCCCGTCGACTTTCTTGGTCCCACCACTCTTGGAATGCCTGTTCTTGTTGAATTTCTTGCAATGAGCGCTTAGCCACGGCTTCTTTGACAAGCTCCTGCTCTCGCCTCTGTTGCCCAATGATATCAGCCATGCTAGTTCCCAGGATAAAATCTGATTTGGAGGCCGGGGTGATGTATGATTTCGAGTGAGGGACGACCGGCTTTTGGCTTGGTTTGGAGGCCGGTGTGCCGGGAGTTGACGGCGAGCTATTTGTCCGTCCTTGGCCTGGGAATCTTGTGTCAGGAGACGCTGTTCGCACCTTCGACTGCTTAGAGACAGCTTCGGAGGCGAGGAGCGGCTTGTTATTCACAGCCGCCGCGGCTCCTCGGGCTACAGTGTCAGATTGCATAGCGTCCTTGAGTGATGCCTTGGGAGGGGGAGCAGCACTCTTCCAAGGCGCTTGCCGACCCGCAGGAGGAACAGTTTCCCAAGGCACGTGGTTGGCTTTGCTTTCTTGTTCGGCAGCCTGCGCAACTGCTTGCATCTGCATCTGCTTCTTCCTCTCCTTCTGTGACAACTTTGCCTGTGGCTTATTTGCATCCTTCGACCCTTGTGAAGCCAGCCCTGCGCTGAGGGCAGATGTTGACTTCGTCTCTGACATGATGTCTTTTAGACCAAAGCCCGACTTCGAAAAAGAGGTAGCACCCCATGGGCTACCAGCAATTTTTCCGGTGGGGCCGAGCACAGGAGGTGTATTGCTGCCATCTTGTTCTGGCCCTCGAGGTCTCGCATCCGGAACCAGAGCATTGTTTAGCGGTTTGGTTGCAGGCTCAAAGGAAACACTGCCCCTGGGCTTCTGCCAGGATTTTGGCAGTTGCGAGATGGGTTCCACGTCCAACTCCATTCCCGAATCAACACCTTGAAGATCAGGGGATGCTGGGTTCGACACAGTCAAACAATTGTCCTCGTCCATGTCGAAGATCATCTCACCCATTGACACCTTAGGCCGAAGTGTTGGGCTAAATGGTTCATTTCGGCCGTTTTTGGACTTGCGTCGAGATCTTTCAGTTGTTGGTGATTGGCCAGCCAACTCATCCAGGCTGCCAAATCGGTGTTGCTTGTAAGACGATGACAGCTTTTCATCCCTCTGAGAAGCCTTGTACGCGAATTCCTTAATTCGAGTTTCATGCTCCTCGGTGATATCTGCGATCAGGTCGGGATACTTCTCGTGCAAAAGCAGCTCAGCTCTTCCGCTACGCACGATTGGGAATCGAGCAAGTTGGTTATCACGGACAACCCCATCCAACTCCACAAGCAAATCCTCATCAAGATCGTCAAGAAAATGGTTCTCCAGCATATTTTCCAGCTGTAGACAAATATACTCGAGCCCCGTGTCCTTGAAACCGGTGACAGAACAAGGGCTGATTTCATTGAGAAGACCAGCGACATTTCGGGCTGAAACAAACTTGCCAATCAAGGATTGGCAAATCTGGGACAAACGGTCCAGCATGAGTTCGTTGGCGATATTCATGACGTCAAAAACAAGCTCTGAAAACTCATCGACAGTGGCTGCGGCCACATCATCAAAAATCTCAGGTCCGGTATCACCATACATAAAGGCCATAACATAACGGAATGAGTTCGCATCCATATGCCTCAGATCAATTTGGATACGGGCGTCAGGGGCCATAGAATCGCGTCGCTTTGCGAGCCACTGTCCTCCGGATCGCCCAAAGAACATACCCTCGAAGAAGGGGCATCGTTGACACAGAAGCTGGCTGTGTGCAATGACTTCTTCCCCCTCATCTAATTCAAGGATAACATCACCGTCTTCGAAAAAGCTGTCGTCACTGATCGCTTCCTGAAGGTCGGTATCCAAGGAACGCTCAAGCCCAATTTGAAGTCGGGAAGCAGACTCGAGTTTGGCCATGTCCAGGAGAGTCGCAATTTTCATGAGTTCCGTTCTGACCTGGCGGAATCTGAATGCATTTGCCGGTGAGTCCCGCGTATATTTCCAGACCGGCAAGATTGTGTCAAGGTAAGCGTAAAGCACTAGATTAAGAATGGTGTACAGGTCGGCATTCAACAGTGTCAAGATAGTCCGTTGGCTTCCTTGTCCCAACACAAAACTCTCCGTGTGTGAGGTCAACTCGCCGTTGCGGAATTGTGCAAATGCAGAGCGCAGGACGGGGCTTCGAGCCGCCAGTACCCAGCCATGAACCGGAATCTTGATATCAGGTAATATAGAGGTGCAAATCT